AGGGATGGGATTTAATGCTATTGAGTCTTTATGGGATCTTACGGCATGTAATTCTTGATGAGAATTGTGTAATGAGAGTAATGGACTCCTGTGCTCCGAAATTCTATTTTACAGGGTTCTTAATAAAATGCAATCCCACAGTAACACTGCTTTTCACTGCAACAATGTGAGTACAAGAGCTGAAGCAAATCCATCTTTAACACAAGCCTATGAATAGTATGATATAGACTGCATAAATTAAGATGTGCATAGACAAATTGTAAATGCCAGGCAAAACGTACTGGTTTTATGTTCAACCCTTTGTGCAGCTAAAACTAGTCTGCTTCCAGCCAAGAATAGTGCAAGTGAATAGAAAAAACATTTTTTGATCAAGACTAGTTAGTGTAGGAGCAGTTAGTGGTGAGAATTTGTACTGGCCGACAAGTTTACGCTTCTCTCTATCACTGTGTGACGTTCTTCTCTTGAACCGGAATTTACAGTAGTGCTATAATCTTGCTTAACAGCTGAAGTCTGAAATGACTTGTAAAGTAATGCAGGGAAGCATAATGGGTTATCCAGGATTGCTTTAGGAATACTGGAATTGGTTTTCTTTACTTGCTTTTTCTGTTCCAAGCTGAGAATTTCTATTGCAAGTTGAACAGCTGCAATAAGCTGCCACATGTTGTAGTAAAGAAGAATACTTGACATCGTCTTTTTAAATAAAGGGGACACCAGTATGAAGGGGACACCAGTATTAATTATTGAACAAGTAGGAAAAAAAACTTAAAAGTACTCTTAAATGAACACACTGGCTTTGTTGATTTAACCTAAAAACTTGAAATCACTGGAAGATGCAGCACTTCTCTAGTCTGCTGCATAACATTTAATTATGTTTCACACAGTGTAGTAGATTGATGTAATGATGCTAAAAAAGACTATTCATTCTTCTAAACTGTCTGTGTCAACTTGAATCATATTCCCAAAACTCAGTTTGATGTTTTCCTGATTGCAAGGAAGATTAATGTTTCTTAAAATATTTTATGACTGCTCTGTGAAACAAACTGGCAGAATGAAGCGATTGACATACAAAACCAAAATGTCACTAAACATGAAACCTCATCAGAAAGAAAATTGAGATAGTCATGAAACCTGTGCTGAATTTATAACCAGGACTTCTGTGAGAGTTTGGTGCTTTAACATATAGTTATGGAAAAACTCAATGGGCAATAAGGAAGGAAGATGGTTGTAAAAGCAGGACTTCTTAACTAGGAAAAAAACACTTTAAGACTTGTCACTTTTATAGTACAAATTGTGAGAGGTCCTCAATGACTTTTAAAAACAAACAAAAAAACCATCTATGAAGGCAAAATGTGACTGCTTTCCTCAGAAACCACAGCAAAACATACAGTTAGAAAATAGCTGATGTAGTTTCTGGAACTTGGTACCAGCTGGCAGACAGTTGTGTGAAAGTGTGAGATCATCTTCCAAACCACCCAGCAGCAATTCATAAAATAATTCTAACATGAAATAACATTGGACTGTGTTTCCAGAAGCATTATTTCTCTCACTGTAAAGAAGTCATGGATAATTACTGTGCAATGTCCTCGTCAGAGTCTGATAATAACTGCATGGCTCAGAATTCATTTTCCTCTGTTTCTGGTGCCGATATGCTGAAAGAGCAGTAACTTGGCAAAAGCTACAGTAATATTCTGTTAAATCTGTTCTGTAGGCAAGTCAGAACCATTATTTAGAGTAGCAACCTCTAATAAAGGCTGGCAGCTGTGAAACTTGTGGGTATCCTGGAGTTAATGTTGCACCCCTCCATGCCTGCTGCTGTGGAGGGAGCATTCAATTTCCTTACCATAGCTGACAGCCTTCCACTGCACTGGTATTCGCTGTACTTCAGTTGAAGCAGCGCATTTTTGGCTTGAGACTATGCCTGCTCTTTCCAAGACTAGTGTTCAGACTTTTTTTAAAATTAAAAAATTATTTATTTATTTATTTAAAATAAAAGCAGCCTTGCCTTTCTCTCTGCCTCAAAGTACAGCTATTAAGACTTCTGTTTCTCTGTTCTTCCACTCTGTTCTTCATGGCTCAGGTTTCTCTTCCCCCTATTTATGTTTCCATTATACTGTTTAATTAGTACAATACTTCTAGCTTAAGTTTATTTGTCTTCATAATGCTTTAATATTGCTATATTTCATTTTGTGAAGTGACAACTGTGCATCACTGGCCTCAATGGTATAATCTGATTTTTGTTGCTCATGACAATACCAAGTTTCTCTTACATATTAACTTGCTAATTAGCTGCCTTACTTCTAACATTGTGCTGAGTATGTTGTGGGTGGAGGGTCCACTCTTCCTCATACGGACTACAGTAACTTAGACAAGTACTATAGCCAGCCATAGGATTACCTGCACGATGAGAGTTTGGGAGCAGATAACAAATTCCTGGCACGTTTCCCAAATAACTCCATGAAGATACAGCTTAAGCCAGTTCAAAAACTGTATCTAATGTCCATAGCAGACAACTGAGAATTATTAGGGAGGGATGCACTCTGAACTATCATGACTGTAAAGAAGAATTTACAGCTGCCAGTATACTGTAAGCTGTGCTTTTAGTTCTGCTTGAGCTCAGTACGATCCGTAATGGATTTCACATTTCATCTATGGTGCATTCACGTGTCTGCATTCCAATTTAACAGCCAGACCAGGTCTCCAGGGGGCAGGTAACCAGACCAACCAAACACAACCACCACATGCTCGGACTGAGTATTTAACTTTTCTTTAATGGTAAGACGATACCTGGGGAGTAGAAGCACAGTACAGAATTGCAGCAGTTCTGCACACCCAACACCAAAGAAGCACCTGTGCAACTCAGTGGGGTTTGTTACAGTCGTGTACCCAAATTAGGGGTGGTTCTATTTATGCTGTTACCAGCAACATACGGTTCCATACGGTTTAAATTATATGGTATCTACACAAGGTTAATTGTCTTGCCAGAAAGAGCTCTTGTTTTCTTTGACTTGATACCTTGTGTTCACCAAGGCTCATGCTTTGAGACCTGCAAGCACCTGAAAAGCATTAGCTATCAGAATGGTATAGCTCATTTTCTTAAGATGCAGCTAAGAGACACCATTTCTTGAAAGAGTATTACTGATACTTTCTCTGCTGTGGTTCAAGATAGCCCTACGATGGTCCTTTGTCATGTATGCAATCTTCAGAACTCCTCTATTTCCTGGAATCCCTGCAAACTTGTGTTATGTAATGGCAAGATACACCAAAATATCGGTACCTTTCAAATTACATCTTCAGAAGTACCAAACTGCACCAATATTGATGGTAGTATCAAACCTGTTTACTTAAATCTGTCCATGTTTTTTTCCAGCTTACATTTCTTCCACCTCAGTTCCATCGCTCTTTCAAAATCAGTTCTAGCTTCTGACTTTTTGCCGAACACTAGAAGTACGATGCAGTTGTAGCCTTGCCAGGAGGAATTAGGTAAAATACTGTCAAGTGTTTCAGTGAGAGAAAAGTGTTCTGGACAGATAGTAAGCTTACTCATACATTCACCATCTGGTCTTCTGCATTTCTGGAACTGAGTATAATGATATGCTGAAAAAAAGGATCCTTAAAACTGGCTGCTTTAAATAGGTTTACTCTCATTTTCAGATGGCTTTTGTCTTTCTTTTTTCTACCAAGTTCTTCAAGAAGAATTCACCTAATTAAAAGGCAAAAAAAAGCACCAAAATGACTTGTAGGTACTTCAATGAAATAAAGCAAAACGATACACGTTCTCATTTAATGTGAGTATTCTATAAAACAGTTGTTCTTACCAGTATTTTATAGTGATTCAATTCTATACAATGGCATTTTCAATATATCCAGCAGGGATGTAAAAAAAAAAAAATCCCAAACAAAATCTATAACCCAACAAACAATCCCCAAAATCCCAATTTTCCACATGCCCAATTTTATGAAATAGCTCTGATTCTCTGTGCTCTCCAACAGGCAAACGTGCAGTGATTTAATTAAAAATTAAATCCTGTTTCATAAACTATCAGCAACTTCTAGTGAAACCTGCTATAAGTCTCATTTGAGCTGTCACTAAAAGAGCCCGAGAAGCAAGGTGCCCCAGATGAGTCTTCTCTCCTCCCTCCTTAGGAAAAAAGCAGGATGTGGCATCTACACAACAGTTCCATTAATATCAGCTCCTACTTAATACCCAGTGCTTCGTCAGAAAAAGCACCGCCATAAATGTGTCTAATTATTTCCAGGGCACTGTAAATAAATTCTGCTTAAAGCAACAAAATTACATCACAAACAACAAAGGGCCCCATTAAACCCTGAAGTATCCAAGAGGCAGAATGTAAAGGAAAACTTGCAAATTGGGTACCCTTTATCCTGCCTCATCCATTAAGTATAGTACAAACTAGGTTTGGCAAAAAATCAGCTTAAGCAGCACAGCAATTGTACAAATACCAATTACTGTCATACTGATGCATTTACATGACTTATAGAAGACAGTGAGTGTAAATAATTGAAAAAAACCCCAAAAGGATGACTATATGAGGTGTCCTTGAGCTAAGGTGAGCTTTGTTGCAAACTAATTCAATGTTTTAACTTTATTTATTAAAACATTATGCACTAAAGAATCTAATGCTTTTCAAAGTGATTTACCTGCTTTATAGGAGGAGCGCACTAAAGGCCCGCTAGCGGTGTAATGGAATCCAAGATCATTTCCTACTTTTTCCCAGTACTTAAATTTTTCAGGAGTTATGTACTCCTCAACCTGAGTGAAAAGAATTCATTTTGATCAGGTAGTGGCTATAGCAAAGGAAATGGCTACAGCCAGCGTGTAGTGACATGAAACATGGTTATATCGCAAGTTCAAAATTTTACACTCCAAAACTTTCAGCAGTCAAGGCACAAAATGAATTTTCTCTCTGCTTTCTACCAAAAGAATGCATTTTATTTGCTCTTCCTATTTAGCTGAAAAGTTTAGGATTTAATTTCTCATTGTTGGTTTATCATTTTCTTCACTGTTTTTGAATGGTCTGTTGGAGCAAACCTTTTTTTTTTTTCCAAGTTAGTAAAAAAACCCAATAGTCCTACAAATCTCTTCACTAACAGTTATTTCAGTGAAACACAGTAACAGGACAGAGACTCAAGCTCTGCACAGGTTACAGAAGGAGAAACTGGTAATTTCTCCAGCCGAAGCGGCACCATTAAGGGAGAGCCTGAGACGGTGAAGGGGAGGTGTCGTGAGCCATTATGTTTGAGACACAGACTGAGACTTTTCCAGAAGCACGCCTCAGAACCCGCTGTCTCCCCAGCTAACGGCAGCAAGTAGCAGTAGAAAGTCTGCAGAAGGTGAAAGGGATTAAATGGCTGAGGTCATTTTTAGTCAAGAGTCCATAACAGATGAAGATCAGGTTAAACAAGGAAATTTTTCCCAACATCCACCATTAAGGTAAGGATGCATACCAAGCCTCAATTTAGAAAGAGGAAACTTGACTGTACAAGGTACAGACTGTAACGCTGCCTGTAAATTAAAGGCATTTTTACCTTTAGGTGACGTTTTGTTGGTTGCATGTACTGTCCTAGGGTCAAACAATCTACATCCGCTTCCCGTAATACTGTAAAAACAAAATTCCCTGTTAGTGGCAGAAGGATCACACGGGATTGTCAGCAATTAGAAAACATTCTCCTTCCAAGTCTGAACAAAGTGACTCCGCAGCATCCCGCGGGGGCTACATGCTGCTCCCCAGCAAAGGGAACTTGCAACCCCCATGAGTGGTAGCCACATACCTCATTCTGCGCTCTGTGCTGCTGCAAAGCCTGAGCTATCTATACCTAGTTTAAAGGTAGAGAGAATGCCATGGCGCTGCGCTCACTGCAGTCACATGTCTCGCTGCAGAGACGGCATGCTCTTGTCTTTTTTATCTTGCTGCTTTTCACTGTGTCTTTAGGTCAGAGCCTTCGTTTGACAAAAAATGGATGCACGCACGTACGCTTGGCACCCCTCCACTGTTTCAAGAGACTTCATGCTGAAAAGATGTGGACAATTCTAAAGAGCTATAAATCAGGGGAAACTGCCAACATCTTTTGCCAGTTTTACACACTTAGGATGTATGTCAGTTTCAATGCCTGCAGACCCTCATAAACTTTGTCTGCTAAAATTTGCATGTATACTAGAATGAATATACAGCAAATGAGTTCAGGTAGTCTATTTACAGAGGGAAATCCAGACACCTGATAGTCAGCTGCTAGCCTGAAGAATTATGTTCGCTGCAGCTAGCGGGGTATTCTGAACAAAGGGATGGCTGAGGAATCAGATTTTGCATTAACATCTCCACGTATTTTCTGGCTACTTGGGCTGGTTGCCCCACTTCAAACAGGAAGAACAGATGGTGTTTTGACCCCAGCATTACACACACTGTTACCCCGGAATCTCTGCTTTTACAGAACCATTGAAATGGTTCTGTAAAGAAACTGGTTCAGTATCAGCACATTTACATGTTCTCGTACCCAGAGGAGGGAAAGGGAACAAATGCAGTGGGTAAAGCTCGGCTCCAAATACATCCATGAAAGTGACCTGAAAACAAATAGCATCAAATCTGAACTTCCACACTCTCGTGGCTAGGAAATGCTAGGCAGGAGAGTGGAAAAATCAGGAACTGTGATTTCATGGTTGAGGTTGTGGGACAGCTGTAGAAAAACTAGACTACATCAACTGCGTTCTAAATACGGGTTGTTGTACACAAAATAAAGTACCAGGTAGACCTTCTTCCAGGATATGGGAGAAATGCCATAGGATTTATGAATTTCTTCTTACAAGCACATTGCATTCACTTACCACTGTGACATTTTTCTCCTCTTAAAAATACATTTACATGAAGACATAAGAAGATGCTACAGCTCCAAGGATAACAAGTATTTTTGTGTGTAAGCAAGCTGAAATAAACTATTTTAAACAATCAGGTCTGCTATTTCTAAAAAGGAATGCACAATAACGCAGCTATGTTGCAAGGCCATTATTTAAGTACTTGCAAAGATAAGGATGTTAATATAGTCACACAAGGATAGTTCTAATTTCTGTAGAAATCAACATGAGCTGGATCTACCTGACAAATTGAATCTGAAAGCCATATGAAGGCAAAATATTTCAGTAGCTCAATCTTTTTGAACCAAACTTTTTTTTTTTCCCCATAAAGCATAGAAAACATTTCCTGCACCAGTCAAACTGATTTGCACGTAGAGGCAAAGATGCTCAGCACGGTTTTCCAACACAATCAAATTCACCGGTACCAAATTAATTCATACCTGTGACTTTTGGCATATATATCAACACCAACTTACGTTTCATCGTGGAATAGACTTGTTCATCGGTCTCGCCTAGCCCCAACATAATGGAGGTTTTAGAAATGACGCCGGGCTGGACCTTTTTAGCGTGCTTCAGCACTCGTATGGATTGCTCAAAGTTGGCTCGGGGATCACGGACCTTCCTGTTCATGTTTTCAGCACAAGGGCGGAAAAAAAAGGGGTGCACGGAAGTTAAGAGACACCAAGAAATCTGCGTTCTGCTCCTACACAGTGAAAATGGCAACTTGGACGTTTGAGCCGTTTAGGGTGACCGGCTGGAAGCGCCCCCGCAGCACGGCGACCCAAGGGACACGCGTGCCTCCGTTTCCCCCCGGTTTGAGTCCCAAAGCCGGGCTCCCCGCTCCCACGGCGCCGGTGTCCGTCCCCCC